GCAGTTAGTGAGAATGGAGAGAACTGGAGCATGGGTCAGAGGCAGCTCGTTTGCCTCGGTCGCGTGCTGCTCAAGAAGAGTAAGGTGCTGGTCCTTGACGAAGCCACTGCATCGGTCGATACTGCTACAGATAATTTGATTCAACAGACTCTCCGAGAACATTTCTCTAACTGCACAGTCATTACCATAGCACATCGCATCACTTCTGTCCTTGGCAGTGACATGGTTTTGCTTCTAAGTCACGGTTCGTATCGACGTCCATATAGTTCATCAAACTAATTAACTTGTCGATGGACAACTTCTTGATTTTGGTAATTCGTTGTGCAGGACTCATTGAGGAGTATGATACTCCCACGAGATTGTTAGAAGACAAGTCATCCTCATTTTCTCAGCTAGTTGCAGAGTACACACAGAGGTCGAGTTCTCGATGAAAACCAAGGCGGATTACTGAATCATATACCTTACCGATGAACCGGTTGTCGATGATGGTGAAAACGGAAGATCTTCTGAAGATCTTGGTTTGGAATCTTAGATTAGGTACTAGAATAACATATAAAGTTAAATATGTGTTAGCTTTTACTTCTCGATTAGTTTGTACTAGCTTTTCTGCTTTTATGTGTGTGAATTACAAAAGACTTTGAACTGCATGAATTACTTCAGTTAATATTGTTTTCCTAAAGATATATTGACGACTCGTTTAAATACTAATTTTAAGTACTATTTCGAAACAGAGACAACACTATTTTTAAGGGTAAATGAGTTTTAAAATATAGGCTAAATTATTCAAAATGCCCTTGAATTTTAAGATTGGGTGCATCGCAATTATATATCTCTATAAAAAGAAAGTTTCACTTCTACTCTCGATGTTTTAAATCGATTCATATCTGAACAAGTTTATCGTTAAAATTTTAGAAAGAGAAAATTAGGTTCGAAAAAATTTTGGAGTGATAAATAAATTTATTAGAGAGATATGTGAAAGAAGAAAATGAGAATTTATAGTGATGTGCTCATATCTGTCACCCAATTTTAAAAAATGACCAAATGATATAATGAAAAATGTATGTTTTTATTTTTCTAACTGTTTTGTAGATTTGATTTTAACCATTTTACCTTTTTAATTTGGTTATTATTTTTAAAAGCAAAATATTATAATTTCCCTGTAGGATGGAGGATGCGAGTGAGGAACAACGATGGAGGATGGAGTGATAGAGTTTTTTGGTTGCAAGTGGACGAAGAGTAGAGGGGAGAGCAGCCATATGATGAGTTTCACTTGTGTGCCTTTTTGATTTGAGGTGGAGTGTATTTGATTGTTCTTTTGTGTATAGTATTTGTTTATGTGTGTACCGAGGAATCGAAAAGTTTGAAGTGGGATGTGGAATGTGATTGGTGATGGATGGTGGTTATGAAATCCGTTCTGCATCAGATTATGAGCCCACGCAAAAACTTTCTCTTTTATTGGCACCCGATAGGTAGGCTATTAGATTGAGTCGAAAGCCTACCAAYGCATAAAGGTTCCGATTCGAGCGAGAGCCCGAACAAGGGAGGCGAGAACATCTTGATCGAAAGCTCGCCCCTATCTCGAATAGAATGAATAGTGAGAAAGACTTTTCCAAATTCGATCAAATCGATCGAGAATCTCATCATCTGTTAGGTGGGCCAACCGACCGAGTTAGTTGGGCAGGGGATTCATGTCACAGAACCTTTCTTCTAGCCAAGAATCCCATTATTGATCAAATCGGGGCGGATCCAAATCATATTTGTTCATGTATTCACTGTATTTGTTTTTTTTTTACATCATGTATTCACTGTATTTGTTCACTAATTACATGTTTATTATATATTCTTTAAGATTTTTTAGTATCATTTTCAATAATAATTTTTCTCCCTTAAGATTTTTTGGTATCATTTTCGATAATGATTTTATTGTTTAAATTTTGTATTTTTAGTATAATTTTTAATTATGATTTTCTTATTTAAAGTTTATTTTAGATTATTTAATTAATATTTTTCTTCCTCAGCTTTGTTAGTATAATTATGGTGTGACAATATTTGAATTTCAAAAATATAGTTAAGATTTTCAAAATATTTGAATTATCCTATAAGAATGTTTGGGAGAAATATAGGTTAGATTCTCCGGTAAAAAAGAAAAATAATATATTTATTTTAGAATCATGAGTAATTTCATACTTAAAAATTAGTAGATTTTGGCTATTTTTTAAATGGTTATATATTTTGTTAAAAAAAATTGAGCATTAAAATAGAGAATGAGATTTTTTTGAAGCAAAAATATGATTTTAAAAAATAGTTTTTGAAATTTACTCAAAGTTTAATTTTTAGAAAAAAAGTTTTTTAAAATAGAAAACAGAAAATTGAATTGGTTATTAACAAGTATATTCTTTAAAATTAAAAACCAAAAACCAAAAAGAAAAAAAAATATTTAAATTTTTATAATTTATCTGCATTCGTGCCCCTAACATGAAATCTTGAATCCTCCACTAGTCGAGATTATTTGAAATTTGTCTTATGGATTTTTTCTCTTACACATGGCTAAAAAAAGAGAATGAGTACAGGGATGCAACGCCATATGTATTATGAAAGGTAGGTATAGTTGAAGTCCAATATGTACCTTATTTGACCTTTTAAATAATAGTCCAAACAATCAAACTTATGAAAATGAAACAATTTCGTCAATATATTTGCTATAGTTGAAAATATATATACATGTGTAATCTGATAAGAGAGTAGCTTAAAGGTCTTTGGTGCACGAACCAGATAATTTATTCTCCTTTTTCGTCGATTCATTCGTTTAGGGTGAGAGCGAAAGCTCGCTACTTTTCCCATGCTGGAGAAGGGTTATACTGACACTTAAATATTGAGTGTATATGGTTAAATTATAAATTTGATCTCTAGACTTTGAAGTTTTTGTCTCATAAATCCTCAAAATTTAATGTTTGTATTTAATAAGTCTCTAAACTAGAAAAAAATAATAATAAATAAGTTTCATAAGTCATAAACTTTCATGAAGTGTCAATGTGTCCTAAGCTTTCGTTGTTGTATCTTATTAATTGTGATCTATTGGTAAAATTGAAAGTTTAGAGATTTATTAGATTTTTTTTAAAGTTTAGTGACTCGTTATTTTTTTTTTATTTTTTGAGTACAAGTGACCCATTAGATATGAGATTGAATGTTTAGGGACTTATTTTTTTCAAGTTCATAAACATATTAGACATCATCCTAAAACATAAGAGACGAACTCACAACCTCTTGGTTGAAAGTATATGTCAATTATCGCTGAGCTATGCTGGTTTTGACTTACGATGAATCCATAGGAGTTTGGAGTTTGTTAGTGACTACCTAATGAATTTAATTTATCATTATTTAAGTCTAAACTTGTGACCCTTGAATCCTAAAAAGTCCAACAATACTTTCATTGTGTTTGTTGGTGGCTTGAATGGCCGCTTTAGCTCATTAGCTTTCCCCCTCAATTCAAAACGTAATTGTAAAATCATTTTTTATATATAAAAATAATTGCATAGGAAAAAAAACCACACCTAATTGTAGTTTTGAATGCTTAATTTTAATTATTTGATTTCTTAAAAAAAGAAAAAAAAAATAATTATTTGATTTGGGTTTTTCTTAACATACCAAGGAGTATTGATTTCTAATCAAGAAAATTCATGTTTTCTAGACATCTTGGATACCAAATTACTTTCCTACCCCTCTCTTCTTCCTTACTTCCTCCCTCTCCTTTGTCTCCCTCCCCTCCTCTCTCTTACTTCATTTCTCCTCCTTCCCCGAAAATTTCTTTTTATTCTCTCTCTCCTCCAATATTTTTCTCTCTTCTCCATCATTCTCATCTCATTCTCCCTTCTTCTATAGTTGTAGGTGTTCTTTTTGTTTTAATCTTCAACAGCAATGTTGGACGAAAAACAAATTTTTCTTTTCCTAGTTTTTTTTGTTCTACTTTGATGGGCGTTCATTCGAATATGTGTGTTCGATTTTGCCTCTTTTTTCATACTGAATATGAACCGTTTTGATTCGAATTTTGGTGGTCGATTAGAAGATTTCAAGTGAAATCTGGAATTTAAAGACCTTCTCACGAGTCCATTTCAGATCGAAGGAACAGAGAACAAAGATTCCTTCATTTGTATTTGAGATCTACCTTTTGGCTATAGTGATCGAGAGCAAGAACCAAGAGGAGAGCGAGAACCAAGAGTTAGATCGAGAGCAGGAACTAAGAGTTGATCGAGAGCGAAAAATCTAGATTTGTTTTTTTTTCCAGGATCAAATAATTAAATCTCCATCTCTCTCACAATCTCAATGATATTAGTGACAAACCATAATTAAATTTAAAATTTAATCCAATTAAATTAAACACAGACTTATTAAATTAGGTGTTAAAGAAAAAATAATTATTTAATTTTTAAAATTGGATGAGATAAAAATAATAAGTAAAAATGAAAAACGCGTTTTTCTTAAGAACTCAATCTTTCGGATTCAAACTAAAAATTTAAAATTTTTAATATAATTTTTTTAAATTATAGAGTACATGTGAAAGTAATAAAAAATAATTATAAAACTCCATCAATCTCTCGTTCTCGTTGTTTCTAAAAAATTAATTAAAAAATAACTCTAATTCTCGCTCTCGATCAAGTCTTGGCTCTCACTCTCGATCATTTCTTGGTTCTCGCTCTCGATCAATTCCTTGTTCTCGCTCTCGATCAACTATTGGTTCTCGCTCTCGCTCTCCTCTTGGTTCTCGCTCTCGCTCACCTCTTGATTCTCTCTCTCGCTCTCGATCACTATAACCAAAAGGTAGATCTCAAATACGAATGAAGGAATCTTTGTTCTCTGTTCCTTCACTCTCGATCTTAAATGAAGGGTTTGTGAGAAGGTCTTCAAATTCCAGGTTTCACTTGAAATCTTCTAATCGACCACCAAAATTTGAATCAAAACGGTTCATATTCAGTATGAAAAAAATAGGCAAAATCGAACACACATCTTCAAATGAACGCCCATCAAAGTAGAACAAAAAAAAACTAGAAAAATAAAAATTTGCTTTCCATCCAACTGGAGAAGAGAGAGAAAATATTGGAGGAGAGAGAATAAAAAGAAATTTTCGAGGGGAGGAGAGAGAATAAGAGAGAGGGGGAAGGAGAGAAAGGGGGGAGTAGGAGAGATGTGAGGGTTAAAAAAGTAATTTGGTATCCAAAGATATCTATAAAACATGGATTTTCTAAAGGGGATTAGAAATTAGTACTCCATCTTATTATTCTCCCTTGTTATTATCTCTCTTCAATTATAACAAAAAAAAATTTCTATACAATGATTGTGAGATCTTGTATTAATTTCTTTTTAGAAAAAAAAATAAACGTGGTATGAATTTGTTGTTTTTATATTCGGAATAATAACTCTTTAATTTTTTTTTTTTACCTACGAGTTCATGTCCCTATATTTGGGATATACTCACGCTCTTCATACCTATACATACGCAAGGAACCCAAGACCTCAAGAATCTTCTTTGAGGTCCCAAGCCACCCAAACTTGCGACCAACTCTGTTTTATTGGATACTTTATTTTCAGATTTCATCACTAACCAAACGTACCTAAGAGTCATCGTTTTCATTAGATGGGGGTAGTGCTAGTTTTTTAGCTTTGATTGATTTTGTCTAATGAAAATGTCACATGAAAATTTATATTTTGTTGATTTTTTTTTGTGACACTTTAAAATTTTATTCATCTTGGATATATACAAATATTAATGAAAATGTCGACATGTCAACGAAAAATTTAATATCCTGTTTATATGACATGAAATCTTAAATATCTATTTTGACAATTAAATTAGTATCCATTATTTGTCAAAAATTGGAAAAGAAAACAATAAAATGAATCATTAAACAAAAAGATATTTAAATCAATAGCATGATGTTGCATTTTTCTTTTTTAGATTATCATTTTGCAAAGGCTTTTTTTTAGAATTTTACATAATTCAAACCTACAACTCTTTTAGAAAAATAGGGACATGTAGCTCGATAAGCTATACTCAAATTTGTTATGAATATGTATTTTCAACTATATAAAAATGTTTAATTTTTTTACCAAGTCCAACCTAAGGATGAATATAACCTAAAATAAAATAATAAAAGCCAAATTTATATTATTTTTTTAATATAATATAAATTTAGCTTTTATTATTTATAGGGAATATTCAGAGTGTCGTGCTCATTCGGATTCAAGATCCCTAACGAATTATCTTTAATCTGGATTTTTTTTAATAATTATTAAAGAAACAAATTTTTGTTTTTTTTTCTTATTGTTATTGTTTTTTTAATGTCGTAGTTTCAAAAGATGGTCTTACCCAAATTGATTAATTTCTCTTTTGGTTTCTCAACAATCTAATTATTAAGAGACGAAATTATCTCAACTAAATTTAGTTTTGAAAATTTTGGAAGATTTGTTTTCCAAAATATCTAGAAAATTGTATACAATAATATTAAAATAGTCTCAAAATAATTATACTTAAATAATTAATTATTGATTAAAATAATATTTTAGTCAACATACCTTCAATTCTTTTATTTTAATCCATATACTTTTAATTTTTATTTAAATAATTAATTATTTATTAAAATTCATGTACTTTCCAAACATTGTTTTTAATCTTTATACTTTTTAAGAATGACGATTTTGATTGTTATTTTAAAAATTTTACCTTTAATATTAATTTACAATTGCATTTCAATAATTATATTTAAGGGATTACTTTTAGTACAGTAATCAAATTGAATATTTGAATAATACATAAATCAAAACAAATATTCTAATAATAGTATTTTAAGTATTAATAATAATTGATTTAACACATAGAAAAAGATATACTTCGTGCAACAAAACAAAGGAAAAAAGATGACGAATCATCGATGATCCTTCTTTTCTCCAACTCCGAGGCATCGCATCACATCACTCTCCAAATCTCATCGAAATTCGTTTTGAAAATTCAAATTTCTTTGCCATCACACAACTTCATAAATGCTTTTGTTTGGACGTCAAATCTGACTTTACTTCACTCTTATCGTGGAAATCCCCCAAATTCCAATCCATGTGCTCCAAGAGTCAACATCTTGCAGTAAAAAATTATTAAAAGAGTGCCGAATTTCCTCGGCTATAGCGATCTTCTTGGAAACTTTGATGGGTCCGGTTAGTTTTTAAATTAATTTCAATCATCGTCTTGTCCTACCCCACCCTGTTTCGATTACATCGGTCAACTATGGAAATCTATATATGATTTTTTTGCTTTTGTCGCAAATGAGGACAAAACGGAGATGGGAAAGAGCAGGAATCCATGATTTTGCAATAGAATATGCAGGTTTTAGTGGGACGGATTATTGGGTTTTCACCCAATTTAAAGGAGAAATAGAGAGATTCTCCGTGATAGTGTAATCGCAGTCTCAATTCTCACCTATCGTTTTCACTTCACGTTCTCTCTGTCTCTTTCTATTTCGTCGCACATTGCCTGAAAAGCCAGCACCCCTTTTAATCTTTCTTTGTTTTTTAATCGCTTTCTCCCTCTGTTTTGCTTCTTTGCATTACCTCTGATTCTTGCACAACACGCTGCTCTAAAGGAAGCGCAGTTTGACTCTCTCTCTCTGTTTATTATATATATATACAGCACCAGAAGCCGAGGACTCACTTCATCTTGTACAGAATCCCCACTTCACCGGATTGAGCCAAACCCATCTCTCATAAACATACCAAAAAGCTTTTTGAATCATGGGTTCCTTTGATTACTCAATGAACAGCCTCGTTAATTTGTTCTTTCAAGAACCTTCTTCCCATGGGCGCTTTGCTGCTCACTTTCTCCTTGAACCCATTTTAGCACACGGCCTATCTGCTCTGGCTCACCTGGTATTGTTGCTTGTTATTTGCTTCTTGTGGGTGTGCTTAAAGTTGAAGGCAGGCAGTGGGGAATGTCAAAGAGAGACGAGGTGTTTGTACTATAAGGAAACGTTCATATGCTGCCTTCTTATCTCTGTTTTCAACCTTGTTTTCTTCTCTCTTGACTGCTTTTACTGGTATAGAAATGGGTGGTCTGAGGAAAATCTGGTGCTCCTTTTGGATTTTGCGCTGAGAACACTTGCATGGGGCTTTGTTTCCTCTTACTTACACTCTCAAGTTCGCAAATCTGGAAAATCAAAGTTTTCAATTCATTTGAGAGTCTGGTGGGTTTCTTACTTTGCTGTTTCTTGTTACTGCCTCGTAGTGGACTCAATTCTTTTTAGACAAACCCATTCCTTGCCCGTTAGACTCTTGGTTTCTGATGTTATGTCGGTCGTCTCTGGTTTGTTGACCATATATTTTGGGTTCTTTGGGAAGAGCGTGAGTGAACAAAACCCTCTTGAAGAACATCTTTTAAATGGTGAAACAAGATCTACTACTCTCAGTAATGGCAGCGTCGAGCCGAAGAAGTGCAGAGGAGATGAAACCGTGACCCCATACGAAACTGCTGGAATTTTCAGTATCCTTTCATTTTCTTGGATCGGTCCTCTGATTGCAACTGGAAATAAGAAGGCATTAGACCTTGAGGATATTCCTCAACTTGCAAGCCGGGATGCGGTTTCCGGGACCTTTCAGGTTCTCAGAAACAAACTTGAGTCAGAGTGTGGAACAATCAACAGAGTCACTACCCTTTCTCTAGTCAAGGGTTTACT